TCTTTCAAGGAGATGGCACTGCTACACAAGTCTTCAAAATAAAGGCTTTACACAAATTCTGTGAACCTTCATGGCTATGTATGTAATTCTTCCAAATGAAACCCTGAGCCTGATAAACTGTAAGATATGCTGGTTCTTTGAAAATACAAAAATTACTTTTACTAGGATGGCACCTTCAGTATATTCTTTAAAATTTTCACCATACAGATTTTTAAGCGGCTGCGGGCAGACATGATCACACAGAGACGATTTTCAAAGTCTAGTCCTCTCTTCACATAACTAAATACAAAATTTTTCTGTTTCCTAAGAATGCTTGCTGCAGATTTGCAATAAACACAGAAGTATTACAGGATACCAGTTTTACTAAACCTCCTAAGTTAAGTAGAGAACAAACAAGCATTTCACAGCCCTTACTGTGTGCCTTTGCAGGTATTCTAGAAATCCGAACAGTGGCAGTTGGAATAGTGGCAATCAAAGGAGTGGAAAGTGAATACTTTCTGGCAATGAACAAGTCAGGAAGACTCTATGGAAAGGTATGGATGCAAACTTCCGTTGTGTGTACAGTCATCATGTACAACCGTAAAGACACTTATTTTTAGATGTAGCATCTGCATAGTTCATTTAAAATAGATTCCTCGCAAATCAAAATGTATCCTGTACTTATCCCATACATCCCATACTAAACGTCTATGTTCATTCAGTAAGTTCAGTGATCACAGCTTACATAATTTTTAAAAATGTGGACTACTAAGGGGGAATGGACAAAGCTAAAATATTCAATACTCCCATTTCAGAAGTCAAATTTATTTATTAAAGTATTAATAACACGTGGTGTTCATAATGCATATTCTTCTCCCATCTTCCTTAATCTGACTATTTTAAAACCCACTTGTATCTATTTTACTCTATTTTATTATTTGCTCTCAACAGAAAGTATGCAATGAGGACTGCAACTTCATAGAACTGATTGAAGAAAATCACTATAATACATATGCTTCTGCAAAATGGACACACAAAGGAAAGGAGATGTTTGTTACATTAAACCACAAAGGGGTCCCCATGAAAGGTAAAAAAACAAAGAAAGAACACAGAGCATCCCACTTTCTTCCTCTGGCAATATCCTAATCACAGATGATCTATAAAGAACTAGTTCCAGCGGGAAGATTATTTTTAAGAAGACTATTTGAGAAGATACCGAGAGAGGCTGGAATACTACTGAGAAACTGAACAAGCTGGACTTGCGCATTTATGTTTATTTTTAAGAGACTACATGAAAAAGATTTGAAAATATACACAAAACCAGATTTACTAACTAAAAGTTGTAAAAAATTCTAAAGAGTTGTACAATCGTTATCGTAGTCATTGTAACTGGGTAGTTTCTTAAATTAATTTACCCTGAAGAATAAGTCATGACTTGATTATCTGATAATATTTTATTTAAAAAACCTATCTGCTTCTTAAATATGGCTGCTATAATAATAATAAGCAGATGATAATGTTGTGTAAAATATGTCAGACTTTAAGGCTGCTGGAATGAGTTGTCAGATTATCAAGTCAATAGTAAATGTGGAGGCTGAGCAGTATTTTAAATACTTCCCCCAAGAAACTGATATCCTATACATAAACTATATGATCAGAAAAAAATATATAATCTTGTAAATGTTTATTGTTGTATTCAGATAAAAGAGTTAGTTTGGAAAAATTAAGTTTACTCTACTACAAAATGTTCCTATCTATTAATGAAACAAATACCTAATGCTGCTCTAAAAGATGTTTCAAATAGTGTATGTAAAATAAGAATAGGAATAAATAATGTACTTCATCTCACTTCTCACAAATTAACATTTTATATAACGATGAAGCAAAAATTCAGACATATTAAGGTTTTTTATGTAATATATCCTATCTTTTGTATAATTCCTGTTAGGGCATACAGCTTTCAGTATTGTTTTTCCATCCTTATACATGCTTTTTCTGTTGTTACAGCATTAAACTTTATTTTAAGTTGTATTTGAACTTTATTGTTCTAAGTTATTTAAATGTTATTTATAAAAAAAAGAAAAAAACCAACTTACTAAGCTGCATCTGTTTCATATGCTTTTAATTCTAAAGGAAAAACAAAATGGTCTGGCTGAGATGCATGAATTTTTTGCTGTGACCAGACACAAAGGCTAGCAGACAACCCTCCTGCCAACATACATTGGATGGCAGACAAAAATGACAGCCTGCAGCAAATCGCACAATGGACATCTCAAAAGAAACAATGCAAAAATGTAAAAAATCTTTGCCACATGCTCTCCCTAATTGAATTTATGAGCACGCTCAGAGCTACAGCAGGTAAAAGAAGGTTGTAGTCCCAGCAGCTACTGGGACTGATCCTCCTATGGTAGAACCTATACTCACAGGTTCAGCAATGTGTAAGACCCTATAGGACTAGTTTGAAACTTCAACCAAAATAGATGTGACTTGAGGGAGAAAAGACAGTTTTCTAGCTATTGAAGTGTTCAACTAAGCCCCACACGACTCATGCATTATGTCATTTCATCCTGTTCAGGTTCCCTCCACGCTTTCTCGGTATTGCCATAATCGCACTTGGAGAAAAATCACCAAAAAATGAGCTGAAACAGCTGCCAGAGGACTGGGATGGAGTAAAGTTCATTACTAATGGTCTGAAATGCTCTATTTTTCATTACAAGTGTCTAGAGTCAACCATTTCTCCCTACATGAGACACTTTCTTTATAACTGCACTCACAAAGAATGGCAACAATTCTCTCTAACGAATATTTCTTTTTTTTTAAATATTTGCTTAACAAATAATATCATTTGGAAATAATTTATGATTTTTTACTTACTAATATCAAACATCAGATTGTAGATGTAGATGGGTCTACGCAGAGAACTTTGTCCGTACCTGTATCAGTGAACCTTCACTGTGCTTTTGCTAGTTGACCTACCCCTTGTCCACGGAGCACAACAGACGGTGCTGTCAGAGAGACTGTTTGGCTGCTGCCTGCCTGCACTACTTTCTGTGAGTATATAAACATGGAAACGGAGTTCACACTTGTGATCAACACTAACACACGAGCAAAAGGTTCTAGGTCTGAATTAGGTTAGTTGAAGCTTTGAAATAAAAAATAAAAGGAGAAAATCTCACTGAGATTGGTTGTGTTTACAAGGTTTCCCGATGTTTGAATTAAAATGTGAAGATGCACATTAATATCTGAATGCGTATGTCAAAAAAATCCTCCAACCTCAATCCAGACAAGTGCTTTTAGAGATCTTCTGATGATGTAATTCAGGCATATAGAAACACGTTCCTGAACCCCAACGGTAATCAGCCCTTCCTGCTCGATGTGTTACCGAACGGATGACTATATTACCATCCTTAGCAGGTAAGCCACAGCTGCTTCACCTTTTAGAGCTGTCAGATCTATGTCACAGCCTGTGCGGGAGCGCTTCACACAAAGACATCTGAGAGCAAAGGAGACAACCCTTCAGCAGCACGGTCACGTGGCCTTCCATGCTGCAATACCTTCCTAGGGTGACTTAGCAGGGGAGGGGCTGTATTGGAGAAAAATCAGTATTTTGCCATTCTTTTATGCCTTCTCTTGCATTTCTTCTGGCACTTTAACAGTCAGACAGACTTAAAGGTTAGAATATATCCTGGGTTGCTTTATTCCAGTACATAATGGAAAAGGTGACTGGAAAAGCAAGAGAATATCAAGCCAGTTGAGTGATTTTTAATTTATCTTTAACTAAGAAAGTCTCTTCTGAAATAATATATATTTCTTTTCAGCTGTCTCAAAAAAAATCAGATTTGTGCTAAAATCAGAGAATAATAATCAGAAAATTTATAGTGATTATCTATAGCAGCAAACTATAGAAGGATAAAAAAAAAAAGAATCCATTAGATTTTAACAGGTATTATTAAAATCAGTGTCAGAAATCCTCACAAAAGCCTTTTATATCAATTACATCCCAGCGCAATCTTAACATCAATCATGCAACATGCCCTGTGGGAGGGAAACAGGTTCGTAGGAAAAGAAAGAGATACACCCACCTGGATACGGCTCATGACTGACCTTTACAATACCAGAGGTGCAAGAAAATCCAGAGTGGGCTATAAAAGCCACTCTCAATCGTAATGTCTTTGGTTTTCCTTCAGATGCATCGGCTGTCATGTAACTTTTTTCTTTGCTTGCCACAGACACTACAAGTGTAAATAGACTGTGGTTTCGAACTGAAACAGAAGCTCCTGAGGTTTAAACAGCCGTTCCATTTAGCCCCCTTCAACAACTCTATTTCCCAGAAACTGCTCCATTACGCAGGCTCTTTAAACTTAATTAACAAGGTTCTGCTTACCTGTCTTTTGTATTAGTGCTGATAAATACTCTCAGCCACAGAAATGAGTTAACCTCCTCTGGGGACTCTCATAGAAGGCTGCAGAATCTCCATTTGTGGAGGTTTCCAAGCCTTGACTGGACAAAGGCCTCAGGAAATTAGTCTAAAATCAGTGTGGGCCCTACTTGGAGCAGGAGACTGGACAAGAGACCCGCAACACCTTTCCAACCCAGATGAGGCAAAAGGTACTTTTCATAGAACAGTCATTTAGAGTGCAGGTCAACCTCTGGGAACATCTACACAAAACACATTTTCCGTGTTAGGGGGTAATTATGCTTTGGCCTCATAGTTTATCTATAATAACTTGTATGTCATTAGAAGTATGCAAAATGGTGTAAATACATTCCATAACACAATCAAAAATGACAATTGGACAATTTCATGACATTGAAAAGACACGACGTGGTACAATATGGTCCCACTTTTAGTTCTGTTGCAAGTACTTTAAAACACCACTGTGTGTAGCATCTGTAATGACCAGATTACTAAATGATTAATCCATTAAGTAATTGTTAACATATACCTGTCTGTTCTAAATCACTTTTGGAAGAAAAGATGTATATTCTTTTTGAAAGAGCAGAATGTAAGTTAATGTTAAAACAATAAAGTAATAAGAGAACAACAGTCACTGCACTCAGCAATCAGCATCCGAGTAGCATAAATATTTCATTAGCCTATGCAATCTAACTCCTCAACACTAACTTGGTGAAAAACATAACAATGTTAAAACATTTAACATATGTAGAAAATGAAAGGGACAGGTTAATTATTTTCCCCAAATTAGGTAAACAGTCATCATCACAGTTGAGATCCATAGTTAGAACTAATATTACACTTTTCTTTAACAAACAATTCATAAGAAAAAAAAGGCAACTGTTTGCATGTCTGGATGAGGTTAAAAAGGTAACAGTTCTTTAAATCACATGTTTACTTAAAATGGGAGAAGGTGAATTTATTACCAGGAAAAAACAGCTGAATTCACTGTGCTGTTAGAATAATTTTGAAGATTAGGATTGTCTTTAAAGCAGAAATTCAGATGGTAAAATGTGCAAGGCGTTGCATGAGATTTGTAACACGACATTTATATTAACTTCAAGGATATTCACACGGCAAAATTTCTGAAAAGCTTTTTAGCATCATACATTTAAACTCGTAGCCTGACATAAAATATAACTGCAGAATTTAACTATAAAAATTTGAAAACAAAACAAAACAAAACAAAAAACAGTTCATATTGTATTAAAACTACCAAGTGTTAAACCTTGAGCACTGTAAATAAGTTCCCAATACCTGGCTGAGGAGAGCTAGCTTGTAAATCTCTAGCATTCCAGACACTGAAATTCTATAACTGCTTACATTCCAGACCTAAAAAGGGAGATTTTCTTCAATTCAGTTTGGAAGGCAGATCCTAGCTTACCAAGATTGGTTGTTTCATTAAGGAAACTCTTTTATTTAGAGGCCTGGCACTTGGAAAGATTGACTCTTAACACAGAGGGGGAAAAAAAGAACTCAATTCAGAGGAAATTACTTCCTCATGAGAATAAACCATTTTGTTTCAGTACTAACCAGAAAAGCAGAGGAATTTGAATGAAGATGCACAAACATGTCACGTAAAGGTTACAGTGTTTTCAGACTGCAGTCCAATACCAAACAGGAACTCTTAAGATCATGTCTAAAAGAGCATTTTAGCACAGATGGTTGAAGACCTTAACACTGAGCATTCTTCAGTGAAGTACAGATGTTACAGGATAGCAGGTACCTAAAAGGTGGATATCGGTATCTAGGGAGGACTTGAGGGTGTCAAGGTAAGCAGGTTGCCAAAGTTCAGCAGATTTCAGTAGGGAGTAGCTACCTAGTGTGCTCGGCTACATTAAGAACGTAGGTACCTGCCTTACCTAGCACACAGACAGCTTTGGGAAACTCGTAATGAGTTCACTTAACACCTATCAACAGCTTCCCCATCTCTGAGTAGTTTGGCCGGTCAATTTTAAGGGCTCAGTCCTCTGCAGACTAAGCACTTTCTGGAGCAAATAGAGTCTGTGCCCTTTGGAAGCATTTGTGTCACTTGGATGTTCACAATTTTGTTAAGACTAAAACAAAAAAATATTTTTCTAGCTTTGCAAGGTAAACACTGAAAACAGCTCACTCTACAGACCAGTCTTCATTCGTTTGCACCTCTGTTTTCTGACCATGTGCCAACAGTGGAGTGACATATCCATGTGTGATGTTAACTGAACAACTCATACATATCCTTATGCAATGTCTTATTTATGTATTTCTGATTTTATACA